GCAAGAAATGTCGGCTGCATGCAAAATATTACCGACAACAGCCAATAAGGACTTCGGGTTGGCGACTCGTACAAGAAAAATCAAGAATTAAAAATCAAGAAGAAAAAATACCCAGCGGAATAAAGCAATGTAATATCTTAGTCAGGGCGGAGTAGGTATAGCCGTGTAATAAGATGATACATAGCTGAGTAAGCACTATTATTGTAATTTTCCCTGACACATACGAAACAATATCTTTGGTGTAATTGTATATATTCATTTGTAGCGAATTATGAATATTATGGAAATCCGAAAAAGTGAGGTTCGTGAGGACCTCATAGAACACAGTTTTATTATTTTTATATTTGATAGTAAAACGGATACAATTATCTCTCGTTTGAACCTCAAGATATGTACTTGTCAGACAGCAGAGTTGACTGGACGCCTAGTCACGGTGAAAGCTCTCTACTTTGCTCTTGTAGGGTCGCTTGAACGCAACATTTGTGTTTAAATACGTAAAGTCAGAGTCTTCTATGCGCAAAGTGCACGGTAACCTAGTTGCATTTATGGCTCTGCATTTACTCGCCTGACATATATATGACTTTTATTAGGTGTCTGGTATACTTGTATGCTTGGATTAGCTGATACACATTTATTTTATAGAATTATCTATGATGTATTTTGCTCCTCTTAGTGCAAACATAGGTGTGTAATTTACACAATTCTCATCACCACCCATTTCACATGTCTTAATAACCAGTCGACTCTTCACCATGTAAACGAACAACAGGTTCACATTATCATTCCTGTTTGATAAACATGGTTGCCTTTTGGGGTTGTGAGATATTGGATAAGAAAGCAGCGGTTGTAAATGTGCCCAAGGGATTCGTTCTCAACGTTGTGAACGTCACCTGTGGCTCAGTCGGTGCCTCAGTAACCTCGACGCTATATGTGGAGACAAAGCTGCTTGATGGCAAAGTTTGGAAGGGTGCTGTGGCTCATCTGGGTGCCAGGCATCCGCCGCAGGCCAAGCTGGACCTGGTATTCGGTCAAGATGTCAAGTTTTACTTGTCAAATGGCTCTGAAGTCGTGCACCTCAGCGGCTACTTCCAGCCCTGCCCTCCCGTTGACTCGGCTGAGAACGGCACGACATCACTGCCCTCAAAGGCCAGTAAGAAAACAAACAAGCGTGTTCGTGACGACAATACGGAAGTCGCCAAGACCCAAAAGGAGGTGCGTGTCATGTATATATCTATAATTGATTTATTCCATCTGTAAATTACCTCCGCAGTCTTATCACGATATTGCGGAGGTCCAGACCAGATGGAAAAGCAAAGTGTGTTTGTTAATGGCGAGAGTTCTTCTTGTCTTCGTACTCGTGCATGGTCCTTAAGGCTGTCTCCGTGCAGGCGTAGGGCATTGTGCTGTGGTTACCTTACTGTGCAAATTGCGTCCATGATCCAACTTGCTGAGCCTGCGTCCAAAGCCCGCAATATCCGTCCCTACAATGGACGATGTGTGAAGCTACTAATTGAATGGAGCCTCGGTAGTTGGGGAAGGATTGCTGGCCAAGGTGGCAATTTAAGCGGTATCTGCCTATTGCGTCCGTAAAAGGCTCATGTCTTTCTCGTCGGAATCATACGAGTCATATCCTTGCAACATGCGCTGTATTATCTATGCAAAAGTTTTGATATGTGAAGTCTGACTTTTTTTATCGTGATCCCTTAGGTGATCCCGTCGAACGGCTCTGCTACGGTTTCAAAGAAGAAAACCAAAACTACTAATCAAAAGACCCCGCCACCTAGTGCCAAAAAGGAAGTTCAGGAGAAAACGCCTGAGGCTGAAGCTGTAGACTCTGCTGCGCAGAAAAAGAAGCGCAAAAAAAACAAAGGAAAGAAGTCGGCAGCCTCCCCGGCGACTGACTCTGCAGCGTAATATATTAAAGTATTACTCATTGCCGATTTGTCTTCTTTTTTTATGGACTTTTGAATGGTACCCATTCTCCTGTAGTAGTGCGCTTTAGTGATTCAATTGCATTCTGACCCCAGTCGATGCTTGTGATGGCGATGACAAGCACAAAACAAACATAAATAATCCATGCTACATTAAACATTCTAAAGGCGTGTATGTTGTCTCGGCCGATGCATTTACCCATCCATGGACAGTGATGATCATAGCCAGCTATGCACACTCCGCAGTCATCACAATGGTCTGTCAAAGGTTCTTGTTCAATGCCGCATATATCGCAATACCGTCGGCACGACAAGCGTCCACGAGGACCAGACGCTTCATTTAAAAACAACTCCGTGCTTGGTGAACATCGTCCATTTTCCAATTCGAGAATTACACAATTGTCTTCAATATTTGTCTTATCCTTCTGTCTTTGTGTTTGTATGATACCGGGATCTGTGAGTGTTGTCTGAAACAAATAGTAAAGTGTGACCGCGCAGAGTCCAAATGTAATCAATGTGTTATACCATGCCATGGTATTGATGTGCTGAGATAGAAACATGGCTGTTGTTAGAAGAATTATTACCAGCGTTACTAACACTCCAATCCAATGGGGCCCGACAATTAAAAGCTTGGTTTTGACAAAACCCCCTTCGGCAGAGCCTACGCGTCGCTCATGAAGAATCTGCAGATAATGCCAAGGCTAATTCGGATTCTCTGTATGCCAATATCAATCACACTTACGTAGCTTTGCCCAAGTCGCCTAAATTTGCAGCAGCAGAGACATGAAAGCGGGTCTGTGGTACCCACAGGTTGTGAAAGTGCCAACAACAGCGCGTCTTCGTCGTCTTCCTCAGCCTGAACCTTATTAAGCTGTTCCTGCAATCGTTTGATCTCAGCGAGCTTGGCCTCAAACTGATCGTGCGCTGAGAGTTTCGACGCTGTCACTGTGTCGTGCACTCCACGCTGCTCGCTGTCGGTGCTCATGTAAATCTTAATCTCAATAAATCGTTTCTGTCCTGTCGTCTATTCATTTTTTTGGCCCAAACATTATTTTAACTAGCTTCAATCTATAATATGGTGCAGTTACTCCAAGCTGACTCTTCCTTAGGAGCACCCTCTGACGGCATACTATAGACGACTCCTCGCTCCTTCTCTTGACGATTCAACTCGGCCTCCGCAGCGATATGCTCATCGTACGTCGAGATTGTCAGACCTAATTTGGTTTTGACCGCTTCATTCACTGTCGCAGGTTCCTTAAGCACCACAAACGCATCTTGATCATTCTGACGCACTATGCGTTGTACTTTAGATGATTCAAACACGTCCTCCATGCGCACGTGCTGAATTCGTCGCTTGGTTGTGCTGCTCACACGATATACGCGAGTGCGGTCGACGGTTTGGTTAGCGTTGCCAAGGTCCAAAAAGCTCTGATCTGAGATCATCAAATTCAGTTGGTTTTTAAACTTCTCCAGCTCTCCCAATCGCCGCTTAAAATGAGCTAAGCTACCCATCGTGGATTTATGCTGTTCAGGCAATTCACCATTGGCATCGTGGGCCAGAAGACCAAGAAAGCACACAGCCGTCATAAATGCATCGAAACCCGCCTCATGGCACAGCATCTTATTGTTGTCATCAGCTTCTGCTTTAAGAGCCTCGCGGTATGTGTCGAACTGCTTGTCGCTGGGCATGAGGCTTTCTGGCTCGGGTGTGACATTCAAGCGCATATACTCGAACAGCGATGAAAGACTTGTTGATTGTAATTTGTCGCCAAGAGGAGAATGCAATGCAACATGCTTTGTGTCGTAAATTATCGGAAAGAGCTCCAAAAGCTGCAATTTATATTCCGCGAGCGTTTGTGGAAGCGGTCGATAAAATTGGTGGAATACGTAAATGAAGTCCAGCAGCGCATTGTGGCCAACTATCGGCAGCTTACTGTCACTCAGGACTTCAATCACCTTGGAAAATCCAATTGCCTCATCCATCTCTTTTCTCATCTGTTGTTTCTTTGCGGCTATGAGCTCGTCTTTTCTCTTCTGCGACAGGAACAATACCTCGACGCCACCGTCAACAGCTTCTGAGTAAAGACAATTAGATTTGGCACGCACAGTTTCGTGCACGATCATTGAGTAAAAAGAGTTTTTTGTAGGTATGAGCAGCTTATCACCTTTCTTGGCTCCCTCAGAGATCCATCGGTCCAATCGGTGCTTCAGATCTATTTGGAAAGCCATCCCGTCTTCCGATAGCTGCAAGTTTTTGTTCACCTTAGTGAGACTATCGATACGACGTTGCAGTCGCTTTTTCATGATTGGAGTCTTGGACAAATTGACAAAGGGAATACCATCTCCTATAAATTTGTTAAAATCAAAGCCATGCTCTGATAAAAACTGCAAACTGGAGGCCTGACACATAAATCTCTCATCTAGCGAACCGTAAGGTCTTGGAAAAACGTAAAAGTTCCAGGTCTTGATTTGAAAATTATCCTGCTGATCTACGTGCACTGTAGAGAGCCCAAACTGCGTGATAAGAAAGCTCTCGCCAGCACGTTTGACTTTGCTGTAGCGTTCCTCTAGTGTGTCCAAGTATTGCTCACGCTCAAGCTCGTTAGGTGACAAGCCAGTGAACTCTGTATCAATTGCCACAAAGCGGCATGTGGGTAACTGCAAGTCCTTCTGTAATTCATTTAAGTGCCTCTGAAAGTTGCGGCGCGTCACGTTCATTTCTGCCACTGATTTTGACTTTTCGAGGGAAACGACACTTGTGTAACGGGAACTAATTAGGAGACACGGGCGGAACGATGACTTTGACCTACGCAGCATTTGTTGGGTGGTCGATAAACTAGTTACACAGACTTTACACAATATACTAATATGTATAATCTCTTATTAGCGATGGAAGCGAATGCAACAAGAGTGAAGGACCTGACAGACACTGAGGTATATGAGCTTGTTTACCAGCTTAAGCAATGCAATGAAAGCGACCCAGCGGAGACACGGCGACTACTTCAGGATCAGCCAGAATTCGCACGCGCCGTGGCTCAGGCGCAACTCCGGCTTGGGATGATTAAAGAGCACACAGCGTCGGCTCCTGGTCCTGCTAATGGCATCGTACGCTGTTCACATGACTTACGCTGAAAATATATTTCTTAATTGTTGCATGATCTACAGGGCGTGTCGAACGATTTAATGGAAAAACTGGACCCGGAGCAGCAAGAACTGCTGGAGCAGGTGCAGAACTTAGCACCTGAAATTATCCAATCCCTCCCACCGGCGGAGCGGCGGCAGATCATGGAGCTTCGAGAAGCAATGGGACTTCCGCCACTATAGACTAAGTGATAAAGTGCCGTATAGAAGGTGCAATGTTGGCACGAACGACCAAACGATGAAAACTAGAGTTGGTAACATGCTTTGTAATATTACGTATCCACTGGAAACTGCAAAAGCGCGTAAGATACTTACCCTTAGAACTTGAAATCCTTAAGCTTCTTACTCTTGTCGATTTTCGCCTTCTTTTTCTTTTTGGCGAGCTCATCTTCGTCTTCCACAGGATTATTAGATTCAGGTGGAGGTGCGTCTTCAAAGCGACGTCGAATCCGACCAGTTTCTGAACGAGTACCGCTTGACTCCTCGCCTGCGCCATTCACAACGTAGGCATGTCTTGATCCATAGAGCGACGATCCAACTGATGTCTGAGAGATAGATGCTCCAGCGTGAAAAGTTAAAAATCATCGAGTGCATGCACTAAGTCTTACCTCTTTTTGCTCCAACACGGTGTAGAGCTGCTGTGGAGCATCAGGAGTCTCCGTACCTCTGCACGATGATAAACGATCACCACAATCGATTCGTGCTCTATTTACCACAATTTGTCAACAAACCTACCTGAGACCTTTACGCAAATCCACAACTCCAGGCGTGGTGAGGCCGGAGGCAATACTAGAAATTCCGTCCACTAAAGGGGTATCTAGGCCAGTTGCATCAAGACCGCCCATAGTCTCTTGGGTGCCCTCTGCTAGTTCTTCTTCTTCTTCAATATCTCCATCTTGTTCTTCCTCTTCAACTAATTTTAGTGAGCACACATGAATAACTCCGATCAACGAACCCTAATATATACTCCAAGCTACACAAACCTTGCTCATTAAGTTCCCCCCATCTTTCTCTGTTGATTTCTTGCCCCTGTCCAAACCAATTAGTAATTTGTACGTACCAAAACGTTGCAGCAAAAGCCTACCTGATTTTCTGCTTCAGTCACCTTGCCGAAGACATCTCCGTATAGAGGCACACCATTCTCGTCCACAGGAGGTTTGCCCCAACCACCAGGATGATAACCAAAACTCGCACCCTCCGGAATGGGCGCGTTAAGCCCTGGAATTTTCAAATTGGGGTATGCTGGCGGTGGCCCATATCTCTGAACGTTTAATAACCACGGAGGTGGCACACCTTCCACCATTCCTAGTGCTGCCTTAAGTTCATTCGAGAGCTGACCCGGGACCTTCGATTTAAGCTTCACCTCAAATTCTTTACCTTCGTAATACCTGCAATAGTATCAGAAATCGATGATGCTAAAAATATGGGAATGATTTTGATTATAATACCGTACAGATCGCCAAGCTGAGTGAGTTGAGGCTTGGTCTGAAAGCGGAAAAATGCGTCGTGCAACACCTGGTAATCAATGTCCACACGCCCCATTTTAGGTTGTACGCGTTCCCTGGCACGCTGTTTGTTTCTCTTCTTCTCGTCATCCTCTGCAACAGATTCTCTCATTTCTGCAATACCTGTATGAGCAATAAACTCAGGTAGTTGAAAAGGCGGCTTCTCAACTCCGCGCTTGCCTTGCAGATACTTTCGCTTGTGACACCAGTGATGCGGTACTGGTACAGTATTGCGATACGACTTTAAAAATACTAGCAGTCGCGGGTCAGACGACGTAACATCGTGCGCTTCCACGACATCTGGGTACGTCACGAGCTGCTTGAGCTCGGCTACACTTAACCGCTTGCTCTTTTTGCGCGCCTTTTTGGATAAAAGCTGCTCCTCCTCCGTCTCTTTTTTCGTCTGATCATCATCTTTGCAACCTTCAGCTTCCTCATTTTCGTCATCGTCCTTGCGGTCCTGAAGAAAGAGATTTATTAATCTGTCTTATGTAGGTTTAAAAATTATAGATTTGATATAATAGTACCTCGTTGTCCGTGACACCGCAGAGCTCCTCAGCGGACGTAAACTTGCCGAAAACTCGCATCATTTCTTCATATGCTGGATCATCTTGCGGAAGTGTAAGCTCCTTTTCCGGGTCAGCACTCACGTACTCGATCTCCACGTCTGGGTTGGATGTCAAAGTCGGCTCATGCTCTGGCTTAGAGACGCCGTTGCAAGTCTTCAGGTAGTCCATCGTGACGCCATTAGCTTCTGCTTGCTTTTGTGCACGCTTTTTGAGCCGACGCCGTTGGTTTTTTGTCAATCCACTGCCCGCAACCATCGCACAAGTATCCGCCGCTTTATTTTCCCTAATTGGGCCTGACCTGTGACCAAGCATTAACGATCCTGTTGTATAGAATTATACCGACTGATTGGCTGAAAATATGTCCGGAGTAAAGGATGTCTACACATAATGACCATCTGCAAAATTCAAAGTTTATCACAAAGGGCGCAATTATTAAGTGAAATGGTACATGAAACACTAATATTGCGGTAATTGGGTCGACCAAATATTCATTTACAATCTGTGCAAGAACGTCGTGAATCAATAGTAATTTTTGTTCGGTGACATCATTTGCATCATTTTAGCGAGCTCCTGATTTTTCCTACAGCTTGCAGCCGAAAAGGGGTAGGTCTCTTTCTTTAGTAAGAGCTTATCAAACGAGCCCCCATTGTGCCAGCTGCTCCCCACAGACGAAGCCGCAGGCTCGCAAGGACGCGTGTATTTCAAAGCGACTGCCTATCCACTGTATTAGCAGGACGACGGCTGCACCTAGCAAAGCAAGGTGCTTCGAATTTATCAATACTGAGCAAGTGTCACTTGGCTGGAGGACACGTCGCTGACCGTCTGCACATTAAGAAGCTCTCAGCAGTGTGTAGACGCTCCATTCCAACATGAAAAAGTCTCCAGTTGCGGCCATGAGTAATATTCGCGACGCAGTGCGGCGCAAGAGTGTGGGGTTGAGCTTTACCACCAACTTTAGCATCTTCAGCCGCAGCACCAGCTCCACAGGCGAGGACGATCGATCGGAACACGAAGGCGATGACGATATTGACGAATCGGAAAACAGCCAACATGACCGCTTACGACAAAATTCAACGCCGCGCGACGATGATGCAGACAGCAGTCCATCGTCTACGGTGATATCTCGCAACTCGTACGTAGAGCCACCAGAACCACCTCTGCCGCCTCCTGGTGGTTTGCTTGAAGCAGCCACCAAAAATGTGCAGGGAAAGATGCAGACTCTCATGGAAACACTTCACGAAGTTACTACGTCTCACGTAAGTAACAATCAGAAAGTGTGAATGGCTATACTTTGGTGCTTATTGAAAGTTTGATCTGGTATGATTCAGGACGATGAAACGATCCAGTGCAGTGTTTTTCAGTCAAGAACGGCCTTATTTTCCGATCGACTTGCAGTATTCATTGGTGATAGTGATGGAAGTCCTGCCGGTATTTGGAGTGCACGACTTTGTGTTCGGTCGGGATCCGAGGGTGGTGGAATTTTTAAAGGTAGTTTGGGGTCGATGCTACCTTATGTTATGAAGGCGAAGGAAGACAAGTTAGGCATCATTCTGTTTGACGACATTTTTAAGGATTTGAATCGGTCCGGAGAAATTGATGTAAGTCTGCCGTTCTACATAGCTGAATTAAGAGGGTGCAGTCTGACTAAAATGATTATATATAATATAGATGAGGGGCGCAGTACAGCGATTTATGACGGGTTGGCGCAATCATGTACTGACTTCTCGAGCTACCCATGTGTTTATCGTGGCATATCGGGATGGTGGAAATCTTTTACTTGAAGCTTTGCGGTCACACATGAAAGAAATGCAGCGTCACATTAGTGGGGTCGTCTTTTTGCAGTCAACGCACCACATTTCGTCAGATGATTCGTACACATTGCGAAAAATGGTTGCACAATGGTGCCTGGCCTACTTATCCTCACCAGAAGGTGTGCAGGCGCTGAAGCGCATGAAGTCAAGAGAGACACCTTTAGGCTGTGTTGTTTTGTCAGGAGGCCGAGCGGATTCGGATGTGGATTTGCTCCAGACGGTTGTTGCTTCGGTTTTCGCAAGCTTTAAAGCAAGATGGTCAGGATTTCGTGTAAAAAATGTAAACAGCGGCATGGAAAAGGCCTGCTACTTGTGCAAAGGTGTATTCAATATGCGTCGTTGGCGCCGTCATTGTCGAACGTGTCAAAACCCGTGCTGTGAAAAGTGCTCGACGGTCGAAAACACGCGACACGAGGGTCAGGTGCGTCTTTGTTTGACGTGCCGCGCACTGCCTTCACTCATTCACTGGTCGCGACCTCGTGCTGTTCGCACGGGAGAGAAAGAGAGTGTATTTAGTGGATCGGCAAAACCTGGCAAGATGTCCGTGAATGACTTTGAGCTTGTGACTGTAATTGGCCGTGGTGCTTGCGGCAAGGTTCTTTTGGTCTTAAAGAAGGATGGTGCAGATGCTGGTCACTTATACGCGATGAAGGTTTTGAAAAAGGATTGGGTAATGAACAAAGATTTAGTCACGCAGACGATGGCAGAGCGCCGCATCTTGCAGGAGGCCAACCACCCGTACATTGTCCAATTGAAGTATGCGTTCCAGAACCAAGACAAGCTGTACATGGTGATGGAGTATTACAGCGGTGGATCACTTCGTCAAGTGCTGCGTCGCCGGGGTCGCTTTAGTATCAAGCGTGCACGATTCTACTTGGGCGAGATTCTTCTCGCGATTGCGCACCTGCACGCGTCAAACATTTTGTACCGAGATTTAAAATTGGAAAACATCGTGATCACTGCGGATGGTAATGTAGCGTGTACGGACTTTGGTCTATCAAAGGAGGAAATGGATGACAATGAAAGGACAAGCTCTTTTGTTGGCACGTGCGAGTACTTGGCACCCGAACTGATAATGAAGGAGGGCTACGGCAAGGCCGTAGACTGGTGGGCACTTGGCATCTTGGCATATGAGATGATTCAAGGCGACTCGCCGTTTCGTCACAATGTTCCTACTATTTTGTTCGACAAAATCCTGAAGGAGGAACCTGAGTTTAGTGACCGCTTTACTCCTGAAGCTGAAGATCTGATAATGAAACTGCTTACAAAAGACCCCCAGCACCGTCTGGGGTGCGGACCTGACGGTGTGGAAGAGATCAAGCAGCATCCGTTTTTCTCAGAAATCGACTGGGACAAGCTACTACGCAGCGAGATGGAAGTCCCTCGCCCTCCACATCGCATGGAGGACGTGACGGACGAAAGCCACCTCTCTCGCGCAATCGCCAAGATGCGCGAGGCACGTGAAGAGATTATGCCGGACTCGCCGGTTTCGCTGCCTTCCTCCCCGTCTGAGCAGAAGCACTTCGACCGCTTTTCATATCAGGGACTGGGCGACTGGAAGCCGGAGATGGCTGACATGGATTTTGATGAGGAGACTGGTGATTTCAGGCAGGGCACGATTCACGAAGACGAAGAGTATCTTGAAGAAGACTATGCTGAGGAGTCGGGTGATGGCGATGGGGTCCCTTTGTCCCCTGGTTCTACTAAAAAAATTTCCATGACATCCTCGAAGGCGTCTCCGTCCAAGCTTAATGGCTCGGATACCCCTCCAGCTTCCAGCTCAGCTGCGTCGGCATCTCCAAGGAGTCCTCAGAGCGCGGGCAGCCCTGGCAGCCCGCCACTGGCATCTATGAGCCCTTGCAGCCCGGTGGATCATTCTGAACCTAGCACTCCAACAGAGCCTCAATCTCAGACCATTTAGGAAGTCTGCTTATTAATGATAGGCAGAAATACATAGCAAACCGTACGTCGATGCATGCCATTGTGCCTCATGATTGCATGATAATGCTTAGAATGGTCTCAATAGTTAAGCGTTCTCGGCAAGCATTAGGGTTAACGTGTGATGATAAAGTAAATGTTTAAGATGGTAAGAAACTCACATGGAGAAAAAAGGCATCAAATATGTATATAGCCTACCCACACATAAAGCAAAGAAGCTGTGCGCATACAAACTTCAGTGAGCAACATCTTGAAATATTAAAAATACAAAGATGACATTTTATAACGTTTTGACATGAAGGGCTCTTCTCAGCGATACCTTTTTTAGTCGCGTATGCTCTGCGTGAAGTGCTAAGGCTGCGGTCGTTCTGAAGAGCTTGCTTTTCATAATTTTCTTTTAATGCGACAAAGCGAATATCAAAGGCGTTTTAATGAGGATCCCATTTTCATTAATTGTGAAGACTTCATCGCTTTAGAGCCTGATTTAATCAAAAACCAAAATGAGCTCCTCAATACAAAGCGCACGGCAACCTCGCTGCACCCAGTGTTGTCCAAAGAGAGTGTCAGGCGATGCATTTCATATTAGTCATTACACTTTTGTGCAATTGTGCAGAACGCACATTCCGCTTCTGTGTGATTGTGTAAAAGTATTGGTACTGATGAGGACGATGGGATCTGTGTCGTGGGCCACATGGGCACGTCATGCAATACAAATATATTATATGGGACCATAGTAAAACAGATGTATGTAGTTTAAATCAGGCTTGACGTTATATACTTGTCACTCTTGAAATAAAATGTTCCTAGCCTTTTTATTATAGAAGCCCGTCGGCTTAGGAGACTACCAATCCATCCTGTGTACGTATCGTATTGCAGACTCGTGCAAAGCTTCCTTTGTGCAAGTTGCACGACAATCCTAAATTGTTCGTTATATCACGGTTAGATAATCAGTAAAGGATAAGTACAAAAATTTCTTGCGCGGTGAAGCCAAACTGATCTTGTCATCTAGCACCTTTTCGGTACATAAGTTCGTCAGCGCCGGAGGAGCTTTGTCGTTGAAGATATTTAGGCGCAGTCGATTATAGGCACCACAACAACCACCAAAAACGACTTCGATCTGAACCAAAAATCATTGTTTGATCTTGTAAATCACATTCAGAAGCTTGATCACAAATTTGACAATCTAATGGATGATTAATTAAAATACGTGGACAAATTTGCCCCGGCCTAACTTTACTTATCGGAATGCATATGAACAGTCCCATCATAATAATCACGGCTATGAATACTTGTAAACCGTGATCAAATTGACAATGCACTCTTATCTACACATAGGCTACCAAAAGACGTTGTGTTTACCGCTGCGGCAAGCCGGAATCGGGATGCAGACACATAATTTAAATTGGCTCACCGAAAAAAGCTGGCCTAGCCCAAAAAGTAGAAATTCTTGGCTCATAATTAGTAACACGACGCTCTACTGAATTTAGGTGAACGGGAGGCCCGAGTGCCATCCCCCTAGCATTTTTTGACATTCTGACTTAACAACCTGACGATGTTCGCCTTAATCTGAATTGTTGATGCTCTTTTCATACAGTAATCAGACTCTTTTTGCGCGCCCTTTTGTGGTTCCAGATCTTGATAGGGATGCAATAGTGATTTCTAACTCTACAAGGTACTACGCGAAGCTGCTGTTGTGGGAATTTTTGCGTGTCACACTTTCCATTGACGTATTTATCCTAACCGACTATGTGTGTTCTACACCTGTGTACTTGTTAGCCCAACGAATATATATTTGTTAGCTGATGACTCCTGTATTTTCTGAAGAAAATAGCTATGATGTGTGTAATTAGTATGCAATCCGTTCTAATCAATTGCTTGTAGCGTTATGCCTGAAATCGTAATATTACCAATGTTATTGGTAAGGAAAACTGAGAAGTAAAAAAGTGACCTGCAGCACAGCTTAACAGAATGTCTCTCCATGATTAGCACAAATGATTTCTGAGCACAAGATCGTCAACATTGTTACTTACCTACGTTGATCAGTATCCAGGAGGTTGACGCCATCGCAAATGCCGCGAATATTGGTATGACGTAAACGCGCGAGACATCGTATCAACAACGAAGGACGGGTTTGATCGAGCGATGGTCTCTGCAATATCATGTTAGAGCTGGGGCCATTGTGGTTATTTCTTATCAATGACAGATAACGAAGTTTTAGAGTTGACATGTATCACTGGCTTTCACCCGTTCTTGGCGACTGGTGCAGGTGTCGATATGCAAATGTAAGATTTAAGGTTGGGTTTTACAAAAGGTACTTTGTATTTTTACGTTTGGTGGTCAAAACACACCTCGAACTCGTAGCTAACTGGTGTCCTCTCCGTTTATTTTATTGTGGAGCAAAATTGCTGGCACGTTCCATCCAAAACGTGTGTTAAGTTCAGTTCGGGGTGTTGGCATTTCGTCCAGTTCAGCTCGCACACATTCGTGTAAGTTATTCCATCCGATCCGCAGACTGGGTCATCATACACGGGACATACGGGACAATTTTTGGGTGCTGTGGAAGCTTGGTCACATTCAGTGATTGCCCCCTTTCCAGCTTTGATGCTTTCGCAGCTTGCACGATCGCGGTAACATTTGTTTGGATAGATGTAGCCGTCGGATCCACACACAGGCTTCATCACATCAAGGCAGGCAAAGTTGCAATCCGGTGAATCAAGGGCTTCAGCGGTCAAAAACGCAGCAGCACCGATTAGAATGCACAGGTGGAATTTCGTCATGAATTCACTGGAAAGGGGCAGACTAAGCGATGTCGCAGAAGTTAAAAAGTGAAGCACTGTAAGAAATGCGGCATGACAATCGATGCCGAGCTCGCTGAACAATCTTCCGCTCCTAGGAGATGAGTGTAAACGTCCGGCTCGAATTTTCTCTTGTAGAACAGTGGATTACACCATTGTGCTGCCATAAAATATGTGATAGCTTAAAAACGATATGAAACATAGTGAAGACAGAAATCTAATCTCTCACAACACGATCAGAAACACCTGCAGCTGTTTTCAATTAGCACTGTTCTTGTTTTTTCCACTGACACATTGAAAGTGCACTTTTCAAGCAAAGTACTGACTTCGTCAATATTCAAAACATATCAATTCAGAGCTGACAGAACCCACCATTGTACGTTTTGTTGCCGTGAAAACTTTACGAACTAAGTGCATATTAGCAATGGGCTAGATAATCGTAGATGTACTGGGTTCCATTTGAACCCACTCATGTAATTCCTTGACGTCTTATCCAATGACGTCATCACAACGGCATCTACATAAAGGTTGGTGTATGTGTCACCCAAGTCTGTGGGCTCAGTGAAGCAACACAATGTGATTTTGCCTTCATAAATAATTTGCAAAATGCGGCACTAAAGTAATGTATATTATACATTACTTTAGTGCATATATTATATGCTTAAACACAGAAATGGTAAACTGCACTGACTTATTATCGCCAATCAAATAATCGATTTGCGGGTATACAGTAGGATACATTGTAGTGAAATGTTGGCTTCAATATAGGTGTGTTTTTTCGACATTTTTGTCGAATGAGAATTCAAAAAGTAGAGCGGACACTTGACTTCCGACAAGTCGCCATGACTATAACGCATTGAGATAGTTGCGATTACATGGGTCATATAATCAGGAAAACCCATGGCCGGATTGAGCCATTTTATGTTGGAGCGAAGGCTAGGCTCTTCGTTTTGGCACGTGCCTATGGCGCAGTGTGAGTACGAACAGAATGTGGTGGGTTGGGGTGGGAGATTGTCGAATGAGGTGGGATGTGAGGAAAGCTTCCTGAAATGGAGAATAAGGAAGAGGGCGAGCTGGCGGGGCTGTGTGCTTCGAATGACAGACTGCGCATTGCTCACGGCTTCATTTTATTCATGTTTCTTGTTAAAGTGTCTATTTACTATTTTACTGATGCCAGTTTGGTGCGCTCCTTGAAAATACATTCAAGGAAGCGTTTACCAAAGTCCGCACGTCCCATGATCACTCCGAACCAACAATAGACAAGCTGTCTCAGTGTGTTCGGCTGTTGATGAAAGGATGACCTGTGCGCTATCTTTACAAAGAATAAAGTCAATATCATCGACTATTAGTGCTGCATAGTGCAACGGGGATGCCGTGCACCTTGCGCAGAGGCTGATTCAACTCACAAAGTTTGAAGTGAGAGATTGCTACAAGAGCCTAAGTACTGACGATCTGCACGCGATGAAATAGCATATATCTTACTATCATTCTTTTGATGATTCTGATATCTGCAATGAATAAAATGGTATACCAATTTCGTAACCGGCAAAATGTTGTATTTTTTGTGAGTAAGTGTACAATTTCTTCATGTTCCCCATTATAAATTCTTTCTTTTATACTAATTTATATTTCGATCGGCTCTCGATGTGATCAGCCCTGAGTCCATTTCATTGGCCTTTTTTCCCAAGTGCAGTATTGAAGGCATTATACTTTTGGGGTGACAATAAGGAAAAACACCACCAATCTTTAACCATACGTTTTGTACTGATATGATCCTGAAACCCGACGTAAATTCAATCAAAGAGGGATCAATGAATCCCCACCGATTGCAAGACATTTACATATTTGAGAAGAACAATCCAAAAATTCGACCAAAAATATGACTCAAAAATTTGCACATGCCAACAGGTAAATGTCGCATTATTTACTTATGCTTTTGGTAAGGACTTGTAGAATACTACTAGCAGCGCTGAAAAGACCTTGGTGAGTAATTTCATATTTTGATATTAATTTTTCGCTCACCGAGTAGTGTCTTTTCTCCTCCAATATGGTAGGTATAATGTATAGCGTACTGAATTCTGTTCTTGTGGTCCTCATCATAAGGCATAACTACAAAATGAGTCAGTGCTGCGATAAATAAAGGTACAGACATGCAATTGTACACTTGAACTGTCCTTGTGTACCTAATATTCCAGCAACGCAATCTATGTTTCGTTAGATTTTTACGCTCTACGTATCGCCTCATATAGTAGCAAAGTCACCATCGTGATATGCGACATTCCATAGGCGGCGCGACACGAAAGCACATCTGTCACCACATATAGCCTACCTGGCTTGTAGAATACCTATTTTGCACACTCTGTAAAAAATTTGGCGATGCTATTGCTGAATGCAACTACGCATGACTGCGTAAATAGCAAACGGCTTCGAGCTAAGCTAGTAATTCTAAAGTTGACGAAGGCATACTTTAGTACAAGTAGCTCCTAAAGATAAATTCTTATTCGCCGCTTTAAGTCAGCGATCCTTAAACCCGATCACGTCTATGGCCACTGGTGTAACGGGGTTTTACTTATCCTTGTATGAAAGGGTGGGTCACACAAGATGATGTGACCGTATAAAGGTGTGGATTGCGCAAGTCGGTTTAATCACACAATGGTGTGGCTACACCATAACAAGAATCCTCTACGTGACAGTACTACCAAAAGTTATGCATAATAATTGGGTTCTACTTTTTACTTAGAAAGGCTCTGCCGCAAAAAAAACAAAAAAAAAACATTTTCAATGTTGAACGGATGGAGCGTCTTTGCCTTGGTTAAGGTTTCTAAGTACTCTTGGAGGCAGCGGATCGCGCCCCGCTGCACTCGTACTGGTTCTGGTATAGAACGTAAGGTCAGTGATCTTAAGAAGCTTCTTATAAGCAAAGAGCTACGGCAGCCCCGCTACTCTTGGTAGCACTCGTAGTCAATCTACGTCTGAGTCGTTTCGACTGATCCTCTGTAAGGATAGAGCAATTCTCCTATTTGCCCCAGGACATGCAAGATGGGCTTAATAAGCTGATGTCCATGCTTAGCTCTGAGGGCGTAGTATACCTTGTTTTACAAGGACCCGAAGAGATAAACGCACCGCTAGAGACGTTTTCGAATCATAGCACTGTCGATGCGAGATGAGGTCATTGTGGCATGCGACAATATAAATTTTAGGCGACACTATAGCGCATCGGCTACTACTATACTCGGCAAGAAAGTTATCCATGTTGCAACTCTCTAACAAGTGATTTGGCGATGATGTCGCTGTGATTGACGACGATCCAAATAGATTCGAAAAGGTCATAATCAATGCGATCATGAGGCATTCTTACGGCTGGGAAGATAGTACGTTTTGCCGTAGCTCACGACCATCTGACATCTTCATTAGGGAATTTGGTGAAGAGTGAAGCCTTTTCGGCATAATCTGTACTGTACTTTCGCAAGTGATTAGCTAGTCCATTTTATGTAGAATCATTGGATACAGCTATACTAAAAACCTACTATGGCGTCAATATTTGCAAAACCTACCCACAGACCTTGCTTCTTCATGAAGTATTCTGGCAGATAAGATTTTGTTAGTGCCACAGCCACATTTGACAGAGATGGCGATTTGCTTATCTACGTGCGTATTTCAAG